ATTTTCCCCTGATTTTAGCTTGTGCGGCTAATATTCAGGTGCGCTTTGTAGTCCGGGAAATACGGTACTTTTGGCCTATTTCACCTAGCACCTACTTGGCTCAACTTGACTTAGTAGTAATGAAAAAGTGACCTGAGTACCGTCCAATGTACACAAGATTGTTACAGCAATCCAGCTGAAAGTCCAGGGACGTCATTTGCATGCGACATGAACACCACAACAATGGAGGACATCGAGGTGACGGTATACCGGCTACTCAGTGTACGGCACTTTGTCAGCCTCGGGAACCATTGTGTTTTGTGGGTAGTCATTTTCCTTGTTGCCAGGTTTCTGTGGAGACACTCATGACTCATCAAGTGACGCCACTGAGTGTCAAATTGGTGGCATGCAGTCTGTTGATGTCAAATTTTCCAATTGCTTTGGATTGTTTGGAACCCCGGCTCAGTAGGTAATAAAAAAGGTACCTGGTATCAGGTACTGCCACCTAACAGAAAACCTGAAAAACCGAGTCGAGTCGAGCTGAGCTCCCCCCAGTAAGTACTAGAGGAAAAGGGCTATTTGAAAATGCCTGTGGTTGGGCCAGTGGCTACTATAAAGGGGGTCAGGAGACCCTCTGTCCTTGCAGTGATTGGTCTGTCTAGAACGACGATGTGGTAGTGGAGCTTCCGTGACTTGTCGAGCCAGAGAGCTGTTCCTTAGTGAGGTACTGAGCCAGTTTTTAAAGTAAAACTGACAAAATTATGATGTAAAGAGAAATGAGAAAAATGTACTTACATTGAATCTGAGCTGAGAAAAGATCTGCCGCTGGAGCTCACACTGTGCTTTATGTCTGCATCTAGAAGCCACAGCAAAAAGTTAAAGGAGATTTGGCCGAGTGAAAACAAACAGTAACAGGACTCATTTTTAAGAGAGGGCTTCCAAAGGCTTGCAAGCAACTGGCGAGTGGATGGTGTTTCGTTGGTTTGTTGCCACTATTTGCTACAGCAAAGCAGAGTTAAAAATAAATAATAATAAAAAATTAATCAAAGAGGTTGAAGATTAAAAAGTGAAACAAATCGAGGAAGATACATTTGACCAAAATATCATCTCTTCTCTTCTAATTCAAGCTAATTTTAAAATCACTTAAGCAGAAAACATGCAGTGAAAGCTAAACCGTTGAAATATCATCACTAAAACGTGTTAAAAAAAAAAGAAAGAAAAGAAACTAGCGAGCAAAGACAAAAGCAGCACAGGTTTGGCAGAACAGGAGACCGCCTGCATGGATTTACCAGTTTCTTTCAGGATCAACATTCCTGTTTGCTCATACGAGTGCAGGTTACAGCCAAAATTTCAGGATTGCAGGCAATTAAAGTTGGTGCAGAACAGATAAGATGGATTTTAAAAATCTTTTGATTATGTGTGTTATGAATAGCTTCTACCAAGCAAACTCAAGACCTACAGATACAAAGGTCTGACTGGTTGCATTTGTTCTGATTGCTCGAGATGATTAAAAATCATCGTGTGAATGTGGAATTTTCAATTAGTGGCACA